ATGCGGTGGCCAAGAGCAGCCACTGCACTCCAGTCTGGGCGACAGAGTAAGACTCCTACTCAAAAAAATCATCATCCTCATCATCCCAAAGTTTGTCGAATCCAGAGGTTTTTACTTTCACCCCAAGGGGGAAGCAGAATAAATTAGGGGAAGAATGCCTTTCCCTTTCCTTTACGTTTGTGGACTCCTGAGATCTAGGAAATAATTCACAAATCCCGGTACTACATGATCTCAAAAGCCTAGTCAAGCTCTAAAATTCACATAAGACCATCCTAAATTTGCCCCTTTCGGTAGATGGATTAGTTTTTTTTTATTTTATTTATTCATTTTTTTTATTTTGAGTTGGAGTCTCACTCTGTCACCCAGACTGTAGTGCAGTGGCCGCTCCCGGCCACCACAGCCTCAACCTGCTGGACTCGAGTGATCCTTCCGCCTCACCCTTCAAGTAGCTGGAACTAAAGGCATGCGCTACCACGCCCGGCTAATTTTTGATTTATCGTAAAGATGAGGTCCCACCAAGTTTCCCGGGAGGGTCTCGATCCTGCGGGCTCAGGCAGTCCACTCATCTCAGCCTGCCAAAGCGCGGGATTACAGGCTGAGCCACCGAGCCCGGCTGATAGACTAGTTTTTAAAGGTAAGGAAAAAATCAGCCTTAATTTCTTCAATAGGTATTTTTTCTTTTTTTGAGTTGGAGTCTCACTCGGTTGCCCAGACTGGAGTGCAGTGTCCGCTTCTGGCCACCACAGCCTCACCTGCTGGGCTCCAGCGATCCTTCTGCCTCAGCCTTCCGAGTAGCCAGAATTACAGGCATGCGCTACCATGGCCGGCTGATTTTTTGATTTATTGTATAGATGAGGTCTCGCTGCCCAGGCAGGTCTCGAACCCGCGGGCTCAGGCATTCCACTCACCTCATCCTCCCAAAGGCTTACATCCTCCCAAAGGATTACAGGCTGAGCCACCTAGCCCGGCTAATAGGTACTTTTTCTAACCAAGTCCCAACACTTGCATGGAGCCCACTTAGGTTTACACTAAAAAGATAATGGGAATTAACCTTTGTAGAATATCATTTTAGGAGAACATGTGTTTCTGTTCAATCTTTAGAATAAACAATACTTTGAAATCTTACCCCCATTTTATGGAAGAAAAGTCTGAGGCACAGAGAGGTCCAGTAATTGGATCTTTAGACTCTAATTTGCCTGTCTTTTTCAAACCTAACTTTTGACTGAGTGCTGGTCCTCATACCTGTAATCTGAGCATTTGGGGAATGTGAAGCAAGAGGGTCACTTAAAGCCAGGAGTTTGATACCCACCTGGGAAATATACTGAGATCCCTTCTCTATCTATCTAATCTTTGTTTATGTATTTACTTATTTACTTTTGAGTTAGGGTCTCACTCCATCTCTTAGGCTGAAGTGCAGTGGCACGGTCTCGGCCACCCAGCGTCGACTTGCTGGACTCAGGCGATTCTTCTACCTCAGCCTTCCAAGGAGCTAGAACTACAGGCACACACTACCATGCCCAGCTAATTTTTGATTTATTGTAGAGATTTGGTCTTGCCAAGTTTCCCAGGTTGTTCTTAAAGCTGTGGGCTCAGGCATTCCCCTCACCTCGGCCTCCCAAAGTGCTGGGATTACAGGCTTGAGCCACTGCGCCCAGCCTCTATTTATTTTTTGATCCCCAGTACCTTACTCTCTCGCTTAGGTTGGAGTGCAGTAGCACATTTACAGCTCATTATAACCTCAGCCTCCTGGGCTCAGGCGATCCTTCCACTTCAGCCTCCTGAATACCTGAGACTACAGGCACGAGCCACTATGTCCTAGGAGCTTCTGTCTCTGTTTAAAAAGGAAAATAGACTATAATCTCATCACTTTGGGAGGTTGAGGTGAGAGGGTTCTCTGAGTCCAGGGGTTTGAGACCAGCCTTTGCAACTTGGCAAAACCTCATCTCTTCAATAAGTCAAAAAATTAGGCTGGGTGCAGTGGCTCTCACCCATAATCCCAGCATTTTGGGAGACCAAGGTGTGAGGACTGCCTGAGCCCATGGGTTAAAGACCAGCCTGGGCAACTTGGCAAGACCTCATCTCTACAATAAAAAAAAAATTAGCCGGGCATGATGGCGTGTGCCTGTGATTCCAGCCACTTGGAAGGCTGAGGTGGAAAGAACACCTGAATCCAGCAGTTTGAGGCTGTGGTGGCCGTGAGAGTGCCATTGCACTTCCAGCCTGGGCTATAGAGTTGAGACTCCAACTCATAAAAAAAATTAACCAGGGATGGTGGCGTGCACCTGTTGTTCCAGCTATTTGGAAGCTGAGGTGGAAAGACTGCCTGAGCCCAGGAGGTTGAAGCTGCAGTAGCGGTGAGCACGCCACTGTACTCCAGCCTGGGTAACAGAGCGAGCTGCAGACTGAAAAAAATAAAAATAAATTAAAATCCTAACTTTTTTTACTATGCTGCATTGCCTTCATAGTAAAATCTCATCAACATAATTGCTTGTGCTTCAAAGAAAAATTGCTTTTAATGAAATTTCATTACACCAATGTATAAAGACAATTACTCATCTCTGCATTCAAGTATCTTTCAGTAAGTACACAGATGCATGAATTGTCAGCTAAGTATAGGCAAATAAGATATTGTCCAATTCTTTTGTTTATGCCCCAGAGCCTACCAGAGACTAAAATGCGCTCAATAAAATGACCTCATTGAATGAACCCACCATGAATTATTTGAACCAATGAAGATATGGAAGACAATAATGGTTTCTCCAAAGATGTCCACTTCCTGATCCCTGAGACCTGTAAGTATGTGATGTTACATGAGGGAAATAAGAATGGAATTAAGGTTGCTAATCAGCTGACCTTAAAATAGGGAGATTATCCTGGATTATCCAGCTAGTTAGTTGTAATTACAAGAGTCCTTAAAAGATGGAAGAAAACTTCCCCTACTAGAAAACATTTATTTCATGGTGCTTCTCCTTGCTGGCATGCTGTCTAAATGTAATATA